CAGAGGACCTGGGTTCAGTTCCCACCACCCACACAGTGGCTCACAACCATCTGTAACTCCAGTTCCAAGGGGAACCTGATGCCCTCTTCTGACCTCCATAGGCACTACACACACAGTACACATACATACATGCAGGCAAAACACATAAAATAAATAATAAATACTTTTTAAAAAGAAACTGAAACCATGGGAAGCCAGCTGGCCTCTCCAGGGTTCAGTGATGAAATCAGAATCCAAACGCAGGTGTGACTCTGCAATGCAGCTCTACAAGGCCATGTGACTTCAGCACGTACACCTGTTGGAGGAAGGAATGTGAGAACCACAGGGGTTGCATTCCCCCAAATGGGCCTGTGCCCCTGGACTCCAAGCAGGACTTTGTGGTTCCCATGATGAGTAGAAGAGATACTGGCCACATGTCTTTGGAGGATGGATCATGAAATAAGTCACCTACGGAGCAGAATGGAGCACCCAGCCAGCAGCTGACATCACCCACCAGAAAGGTGGATGAGCCTTCATTCTCCTGTGTCCCCCCTGAGGACAGAACAGTCCCCAGTGCATGCCTGTTACTGGCTCATGGACACTCTGAACACAATGAATGGCAGAGCCACAGAACTGAGTTTGGGGGCAACTGGGTGCCTAACTACAGTAACTAGGATTAGAAATTGTAAACTGCAAATGCTGTATCCGTGGAAGGTGCTGTTGTTAGCCTGAGTTTGGTAGAAGAGGATTCCGTTGGTATCTGAGGAAGGAAACTAAGAGGTTGCGTGTAGGCACCGGCACTGAGAGGTGACCCAGGGGACCAGGCACAGGGGACTGGGGAGAATGAAACAAGAGGTGCAGCCAACACCAGGGTGTGCCTAGTGGAAGCCGGTAAGCAGCTGGGGCTTGCTCTAGTTTGGGTCTGGGCTGCCCCTAGAGGCATGTGTGTGAAAGGCTTGCCTGCCAGGCTGGGGTGCTATGGGAAGGGGTGGGGCCTGGTGGAAGGAAGTTAGGTCATTGGGGTAATGCCCTTGAAGGGGATTTGGGACTTTAGCCCCCTCTTCTTCTGTACTCTTTGCTTCCTGGCCACCTTACAGTGAACAGTTCTGCTCCCCAGTCCCCATGATGATGGTCTGCCTCACTGTAGGCCCAAGGGCAATGGCCTCTGAAACTGGACAAAATTAAGTTCCATCCTTTTAAGTTGTGTGTTTTGTCACAGTGACAGGGTGCTCCTCTAAGAAATGGTACAGTAGCCGGGGGTGGTGGCGCATGCCTGTAGTCCCAGCCCTCGGGAGGCAGAGGCAGGCAGAGCCCTGTGAGTTCAAGGCCAGCCTGGTCTACATAGTGAGTTCAGGACAGCTGGGGCTATAGGGAGACCCTGTCTCAAAAAGACCAAAAAAAAAAAAGAAAGAAAAGAAAAAGAAAAAGAAAAGAAGAGCCTTTGAGCTGTGAATTTGTCTTTCCTAGGTCCCCAGGAGCTGAGCATTGCTCCCAAGGATGCTAACACCTTGCACCTGCTAGTTTGCAAATACCCTAGCATGCCCGAGAAGTCCAGGGAGGGAAACATAACCAGACATAGACAGCACATGTACCATCTGTTGGACTATAAAATGTTAACAAAGGTGATGATAACATCTGATGTCCTGGACAGAGACTGCAGAGCCAGCCTCTGCCTGGGCAGTGACATTCCCCACCAGTGTGGGGCAGCCTGCACCAACCTTGTGGTTTCAGACCTGCCAGAACAAGGCCTGGTATACTCCAAGCACCGTCTACCAGAGGTGCCTGCTGCATGCTCTGGCCCCTGCAAAGTCTCTGGCCAACCCAGCTTGGAGCCAGAACACCCACTGTCTCATGGGGACTGGACTCAAATTGGATCTCCAGCTTTGTCCCCTTGCAGAAGCACATAAACAGGCTGAGGGCGCCCAGTGACCGTACTGAAAATCTTTTCAGGGAACCAGTGTAGAAGATGACCTGGCTCTACTCAGACCTTAACTTTCCTCCTAGAAGCAGCTGAGGTGGCAAGGGAGCCCCTGAAGTGGATGCCTGAAGGAGAAGGAATCAGGAGGTCCTACCCAGCATAAGGCTGTGACCTGGCCTAGTGGCCTCTCATGACCCTAGCCTCCAGGGACCTGGATTGCTGGCCAGGCCTCTGCTCTACTTGGTTAACTGCACCGATTCCCCCCACAGGGACATTTAATAGCTATTGGTTTTCTATTAATGATGTTTCCATGGCTCTGTGCTGCCGGCCCTTGCTTCCTCTTCTTCCCTGTTATGGCAAAGAGCTGGCTTGTGCCAGGAGCAAACTCTGTGCCACCACCCAACCTGCGGCAGAGGGGAGGAGACCGACGGCACTCCCCCTGAGAGAGAGTGCAGAGGCTGTAACTCGGCAGGAGCTTAGATTTGGCAAAGAGCTTTACAAGTTCCACCAAATCAGTTCCACCGCCACACGCTGAGCACCTGCTATAGACCAGGCATCCCACAAGAGGTGTTAAAGTTGAACTTGGGTGGTGCTTGGTGGAGAACCAAGCCCTCCACTCTCCTGCATCCTCCCTTCAGCCTTCTCCTCTCCTGGGTAATTAATCCCAACTCCTGCCTGCCTGCATCCCAGGTTCCTGTCTGCCATGCCTCAGGCTGCTCAGTTAGAAGGCCTGGATTCAGCTTCACACAGTCTAGTCCCTCAGGGGTGTCCAGGGCACAAGGACTTCCTGGGATATGAGGCTTTCAGTGCCAACACCAAGAAAGTCTCAGGACACCTAGAGAATTTGGTATACAGAATGCTTCAGTGAGCATTCTGGGACCTTGCAACCCTCCTGTTTGGCAATCACACTCAAACAGATGCTTCTGGGTAACTTGGGAACCCAGAGGTAGAGTGCCTGAGGTGAGCCTAGGTTGGGTGTTGAAAGGGGGGATATGAGAGCTTAGGGAAGCATAAGCAAATGTCCAAAGGCTGGGTGGGGATGGTAGTGCGTGCCTGTAGTCCTAGGGCTTGAGAGGCAAAGGGTGGAGGATCAGGAGTTCAAGCTTATCCTTGGCTACCTAGCCACATCCAAGCCAGCCTGGGCTACATGGGACCCTGTCACAAACAAACAAACATGCAGGGATCTGCAACAATGGACCAAACCCCAGGCCAGCCTGAGTCCCTTTGAGCCCACCCTTCCTGTATCCTCTGCAGGTGCCCAGACTTATATGTACAACATTTTAGCAAGCAAGGTCTGTTTTAGACTCCCAAGGGAAAGATAGATGTGCTAGGAGAGAGGCCTCCGGGCACTAGGTAGCAGCTGTGGAGAGCAGAGCAGGGCGCTGGAGGCCAACAGGGACAACCTGGGCTTGAAGGAAAAGGGTGGGGGAAAATCATGGGGAGCCTGCACTTTGGGAGGAAGCTGACTGGAGGCTTTGCTGGTAAGTTCCAGGCCTGTGACTCCTGGGTAGTCACCAAGCCCCTAGCCTCCTGAGAGGGACCTAGGGGTTCTCTGTTTTCCCAGTTGTGGAACATGCCACTGAGTAGAGCTAAGTCAAACTGGTCCTCTGAAGTGAGCTGAGGCCATTCTACCTGAGGTTCAGGAAAGGCACAGGGCTCTGCACATGCCTCTGAGCACATCTGTGTCCCAGTCTCTGGGTGCCTGTCCACAGTGTGCATCAGAACCCATCCTCCCAGGCTGTGATCTGGGTACTGAATCCTGAGGCGAGGCTCTGGATAATCTTCTGTTTAATATGAAATCTGAGGCATTTTAATATTTTTGTATTTTGCATATATATTTATTATTTATTATGACAGTCTCTCATAGCTGAGGCTAGCCTGGAACCTGTTTCAGAGCCAATGACCTGGGACTTCTGATCTTCCTAGTTGCACCTTCTGGGTGGCTGGGATTACAGATGTGTACCACCACACCTGGGTCATTAAGTGCTGGGGATCAAACCCAAGGCCTCATACACGCTGGGCACTTTTATCAACTGAGCCACATCCCCAGCCCTTTGATGTTTATTTATTGATTTGATTATTTTTAGTTATGTGATGCTGTGTGTGGGTATATGCATGCAAATGTAGGTGCTTACAGAGGTCAGAAGTGTCAGATTCCCCGACATCCCCAGCCCTTTGATGTTTATTTATTGATTTGATTATTTTTAGTTATGGATGCTGTGTGTGGGTATATGCATGCAAATGTAGGTGCTTACAAAGGTCAGAAGTGTCAGATTCCCCAAGCGCTAGAGTTATAAGCAATTGTAAGCTGTCCAATGTGGTAGGATCCTCTGCAGGAGCAGGACTCTGTTAACCACTGAGCCATCTCTCTAGTCTCCCTTGCTGTTTAATAAATAGCAAAGGTTGAGGCTGGAGAGATGGCTCAGCAGTTAAGAGCACTGGCTGTTCTTGCAGAAGACCCAGATTCAAATTTCAGCACCTACCCGGTGGCTAATAGCCATCTGTAACTCCAGTTCCAGAGGATCTGACACCCTCTTCTGATCTCCGTGGGCATTGCATGACACACATACATGCAGGCATAAATCATACACATTAAGTTTATACACAGAAATTCCCCCACTCCAAGGCTTCTGAGTTTAGACTAACAGTTTCTCAGCCTTGGCATGACTGCCATTTGGACCAGGGAATTCTGTTGTGGGGAGCTAACCTGCATTACGGGGCTTCAGCAGTTTCCCATGTCTCCAGATGCATCACTCCCTGGGGGTGTCACAACCCAAACCCAAATAGTTCCTAGTGACAATCCCCCATCAAGAGGGATTTCCTCTTGGAGCCTGACAGGCCATGTGAAGCTCGGTTGTCGCCATTCCTGGGCCAGGTTCTGCCATGCTGGACTCCAGGGCTCCTTACCACAACCCATCTGTCCACAGGGTTGCAGCCAGTTCCCATCACCCCTCCAGGGGGTCCAGCTCTATTCCTGCCCATGCTCACTCGGCCCTCTGCTGCCCAGCCCTTCACAGGCAGGGGACAGACAGGAGGACTAGGGACAGGAACCATAGCCTCCCCACCTACCAGTGGTGTGATGAGGCTCCAGGAGGCGCAAAGATGGAAGGCACAACAATGGGAAGTTTTATTCTTATTACAAAGTAAGCGTTGTGGTAGGAAATCTGGTAAGCTTAAAAAAAAAAAAATTTTTTTAAAAAATGAAGGTTCTTCAGAGTCCACTGCCTATAGATGGCTCCAGCTGCAGCCAGTCAAACCCCTGGCAGCTGTGGGGGCAAGGACATCCAGGCAGGCAGAGCCCTTGATCAAGGACATTATAAAGCAGCTTCTCTTCCAGGTTAAACATCTGCTGTATTCCAACTCTGGTGATTCGGAGGCTTCTGTGGCCTGTTCAAAGCACCTGCCCCCGCTCCCCACACCCTCCAGGTCTGCAGGTAGCACATCAGAACTCGTCCTTTATGTCAAAATGGGGCTGGTCTTCAGGCTTGAAGTCCAGGTTGGGGCTGCCATCCTCGTTGAGGATCCTGCGGGCCGTGTACCCGACGATGGGGTATTTGGCTTTGTACACCCGGCTGAAGACGTCATCCAGGGCCTCCAGCTCCTTGGCAGTGAGACCCGTCTGCGGGAGAAAGACCAAGAAATGAAGGGTGGGGATGAGCAAATTGTGTTTGGTCCTGCCTGCTCTCCATCCCTGCCTTACACCCCAAATGAAGGACAATGGACTTGTAAAGAAACAACCGTGGGGATGCAGGGGGTGCCTTAGCCATGAGGTCAGACAATCATGAACTAGAGCCTCCAGGTTAAGCCTTTTCTCTCTATAAGTTACTTATGCCAGACTTTGTGTTACAGTAATGGAAGACTGACTTAACATGCTTAGTCAGTTTCTTAATGCTGTGGCTTTGGCATTTCACGCCCCTCAGTTTTATTACGCCCATTTGACATTGAGCACATCTAGGTGATTGCCAGCCTGACTGCGGGGACTGCTTTTTTAAATTAATTTTAAATTTTTCATTATTTATATGTGTGTGTGTGCGTGTGTGTCCACATGCTTGCCATAGTGTGCAGTTGGAGGTCAGAGGACAATTTGTAGGAACTGGTTCTCTCCCTCCATCATGTGGTGGTCAGGCTTGGCACAAGCACCTTCACCCCTGAGCCATCTTGCCAGCCCCAGTTTGTTTTCAATGCTATTTTCTCCTGCACACAGGTACAAGCAGAGGGGGTTCCTGCTTCTCCTAAGGTCATCCACTGAGCTATCAAAGTGACGGAGACTGGCCTGAGGAGCAGGTCTCAGATGAACCTGAAAGCAGGTAGAGATTGAGTGCAGGCCATAGAGGGTCAGGCCACTGGAACAAGCTGGGGCCAACAGTAGATTCCCTGGGTTGGATGACATGGGAGTTTGAACTTGACTCTAAAGGCAGTGGGGAGCATGGGAGGTTCCTGACTAGGGGTGACCCAGTAAGATAATGTATTTCAGGCCGGGCGTGGTAGCGCACACCTTTAATACCAGCCCTCAAGAGACAGAAGCAGGTGGATCTCTGTGAGTTCAAGGCCAGCCTGGTCTACATAGTGAGTTCCAGGATAGCTGGGACTACAGGGAGACCCTGTCTCAAAAAGACCAAAAAAAAAAAAATTATATATATATAATGTATTTGAAGAAAATGGTTGGCCACACCATGTGGACTGGAGAATAAAAAAGCTAATTAAGTTTTGTGGAGGGCTGGAGAGATGGCTCAGCGGTTAAGAACACTGACTGTTTTTGCAGAAGACCCAGGTTTGGATCCCAGCACCCACATGGCAGCTAACAGCTGTCCATAACTCCAGTTCCAGGGGATCCAACAGCCTCTTCTGTCCTCTGCGGCATTGCATGACACGGGTGCACTTACCTACATGCAGGCAATACACACATATACATAAAATAAAAATAATAAATATTTAAGTTTTGTGGACTGAGCCTCTCACCAGTGGCTAAGCGCTCGCCTAGCATGTGGACATGTCGAAAGCCTGGGTTCAAATCCCAGCACCTTCCCTGCAAAATGAATGAGGAAGCTTTGCTATTAAGAGGTTAAAACAAAACCAAAGCACAGTGTGTGGAGGGGGTGATTTTGACAAAAGCTCCTTTTGGCTCACAGTGTCATGGGTGAGGTCTGCGGGCTCCAGGGACATCTTGGCCACTCCTCTGGTGGAGTCCTTCCCAGTCAAGGCATTGTAGGGGGCTCCTCGTCCATAAAACTCTGCAGCAGAGAAGAGTGTGGGTGTCCATGCAGAGCAGCCAGGAGCCCACAAGTGGGAGTGCCCCAGGCCCCCAGCATCAGAGAAGCTCCAATTCCTAGGACAAGCACAGCAGGGCAGAAGGGAGGCCTGGGGGTCCACCCCAACTGGCAGTCAGGCCGCACTCCACACATCCAGAACACAGATGGGAACACCTGAGAGTTGTCTGCAGAATGGTTTGACAGAATTAAGTCTTTTCTTCTTTTTTAATATTTTATTTATTATTTTTATTTTATGTGTTTGAGTGTATTGCCTGCATGTATGTGAGTGCACCCGTGTCATGCAATGCCTCGGAGGTCAGAAGAGGGCCTCAGATTCCCCTGGAACTGGAGTTAAGGACGGTTTGTAGCTGCCATGTGGGTGCTGGGAATTGAACCCGGATCCTCTGCAAGAGCAGTCAGTGCTCTTAACCGCTGAGCCATCTCTCCAGCCCCAAGCCTCTGTGAAAAATTAAAAGTGGAAGTGGGTGTGGTGGCGCATGTCATTAATCCCAGCACTGGGAGGCAGAGTCAGGCCTCTCAATCTGGTCTACATAGCAAGTTCCAGGCTAGCCATGGCTACATAGTAAGATCCTGTCTCAACACCTCCCCACCCCAAATTAAAATGCATGCCTGCCCTGGTTATGGGGGCTTGTACTCCTAGCTACTCAGGAGGCTGAGGCAGCAGAACTGTAAGTTCAAGGCCAGCCTGGACTTGCCTCCAAATAAAAAGTAAAAAAGGGCTCAGTAGCAGCGTGCTTGCCTAGTACACACCAAGTCCGGGGTCCAATCCCTAGTAGGAAAAAAAAAAAAAAAAAGATGCAGGCAAGAAAAATCCCTGGTCTTAAATGTTTCAGTGTTAAAATGTTCTGTCATGTTCTATGACAGCAACTCTTTGCTAAGGGGCACTTTCCTCTGCCTTCAACCAGAGAACTCATCAAGTTCACATTGGATTCCACAGACCTTCAAGTAGGAACATGGCATTAAAAGGAGATGCTGAGTAGATAAAATCTATTTAGTAAAGCACTGACAGGCTTAGCTCCATCTGGTCACTTCGGAGGGAAGGAGACACCTTGCACGCCCCCCTCCCCCGCCCCCACCACCTCATGTCTCCAGGTGTTTGCTGCAGCTCTGAGCTCCCCCCAAACAAAGACCCAAGGCCCTGGCCACTTACCCTTTCCAGAAGTGACGTCAAACACCACTCCCTTTACTGCCAAGTAGATGGGATGATCTTCCTAGAAAGAAGGGGAATGCTGGGAGGAGGAGGCAGACAGCCAGTTCCCCCAGCACAGGTTAGTGAAAACTCTGCCCATCATGAGCTGGGCAAATGGTGGGGAGTCATAAGGCCAGCCATCGGCAAGCTCAGCACTACCTACAGAACATCACACCCACTCTGAAAGTCCTGAAGTGTCATGGACAGAGCTAGCGATCCTTTTAAAACAGTCAGGAGGGCTGGAGAGATGGCTCAGCCAGGTGATCTGACACCCTCTTCTGGACTCTGTGGGCATTGTACCCATGGGTGCACTTACGTGCAGGCAAAACACTCATACACTTAAAATTCAAATAAATAGGCCAGGCATGGTGGCACACGCCTTTAATCCCAGCACTCGGGAGGCAGAGGCAGGGGGATCTCTGTGAGTTCAAGGCCAGCCTGGTCTACATAGTGAGCTCTAGGACAGCTGGGGTTACAGGGAGACCCTGTCTCAAAAAGACCAAAAAAAAAAAAAAATTAAAATAAATAAATCCAAAAAATATTTAGACAGGAGTCATAAAGTGAAGTCACTTCAGATAAAAATTCAAAAGTGAGCTGGGCATGACTGTACCCAGGAATGTTTGTAATCTCAGCACTCTGGAGACAGAAGCATGAGGCTCAGAAGTTTAAGACTGGTCTCAGCTACATAGCAAGTTTGAGGCCAGCCTGGGCTACGTGAGACCCTATCTCAAAAAAAGAAAATAGAGTACAATTCAAAAGAACAGGAAATGGTGAAGGATTTGGATCAGGGCAACATCCCATCATCAGCATACAGTGTGGTAATGTCAGTGAGCTATTTATATTTTGTTTCTTTTAAAAAAAAAGACATGTATTTGTGTGTGTGTGTGTGTGAGTATATACATGTGTGTGTGTGCACGTGCATGCCTGTGCATACACATGGAGGCCAGAAGAAGACACCGGGTGTCTTCCTCTCTGACTTGCCACCTGTTCCTTTGAGTCAGGGTCTCTCTCTGAACCCAGGGCTCCTGTTTTCTCTGCTGGGTTGGAAGCAACAAGCCCCAGTGGTGCTCCTGGGCCTGCCCTCTTGGAGCAGACGTTACAAGTGTGTACAGAACATCCAGCTTGCTATGTGGGTGCTGGGATCAAACTCCAGTCCTCATGACTGCACAGCAAGTGCTTTAACTACTGGTCCATCTTGCCAAGCCCATATTTTGCTTCTCATAGGTAACAGTACATCACAAACCATTTCCATGTATTGAAAAATACCTGTCATGGGGTTGGAGGGATGGCTCAGCAGTTAAGAGCACTGAGTACTCTTCCCGAGGACCCAGGTTCAATTCCCAACATCCACATGGTGGGTAACAACCATCCATAACTCCAGTTGCAGGGAATCCGATGCCTTCTTCTGACCTCCTCAGGCATTGCACAAGTGTGCACTTACATACATGCAGGCAATACACTCATACACATAAGATAAAAATAAATATTTTCAAAAAGAAAAATTTTGCCTGTTACTTAATGAGTTACATGGGACCGCATCTCATGAGTGACTCTGCATCTGACAAGGGCCCATCTCATGAGTGACTGCACCTGCTTCTGTAGCTGGTCTGTTTTGGGTACTGGTGTGCCCAGTCTTGGAACAATGAGTGGTGATTATGAATATCATCCTGCAAATTACATTCTAATTAGGTGAGCTACTGCCTTGAAGCTTATACACTTGGACCAAAGTGTATAAACAACTTAATCACTTGCAATATTGTCAGTTTGCCCTTCAAAAACAGGAAACCATGTAAAGAGACGGCTATGTGGCAGTGATATTTGCCCACAGTGATCCTGTGTTACGGATTTGATTTTTGCTACATTAGTGGGTATAAAATGTTGCCAGAGATAGGGCTGGAATCCAAAGCCCTCTTCTGACCTCCGTGGCATCACACAACACGGGTGCACTCACATACATGCAGGCAATGCACTCATATAGGGCTGGCTCAGCAGTTAAGAGCACTGAGATAGGGTGGTTAAGGTTAAGAGATAGGGCTGGCTCAGCAGTTAAAAGCACTGACTGCTCTTGCAGAGGACCCGGGTTCAATTCCCAGCACCCACGTGGTGGCTACAAACCATCCTTAACTCCAGTTCCAGAGGAATCCGAAGCCCTCTTCTGACCTCCACGGCATTGCACAACATGGGTGCACTCACACACATACAGGTAATACACTCATACACATAAAATAAAATATTTTTAAATGTTGCCAGAGATAGATAGATAGATGATAAAGAGGGGGAGAGAAAGAAGAGAAAGGGAGAGAAAGAGAGAGAGAGAGATAACACTATGGCAGATGGTTTGGGTTTTCTAACTTCCCTCGAAGTGGGCTCAGGCTAGGAAGATGGGCAGAGCTCCAGATCCTGGTTTCTCTTGCTTTTTGGCCCCATGGGGGCGGGGGATGGCAGAAATTCACAGGCCTAGTTACGGAGGAGTTGCCACTTGACCTGTCTCTGGGTGGTCTTTGGGTTCTTGCCCTTGTGGGGTTTCTGCACACATGTCTGCATCACCACATTTAACAGACTGAGGAGCTAAAGCTCAGAGAGGTTGAGCAACTTTCAAAGGAGATGTATTCCACAGTCACATAACCTATGGGCCTTCAGTTTCCCTACCTGTCACATACAGGTACTCCCTACACACCATGCAGGAATGGCAAAGGACACGGTGCATGTGAGGGCCTCGCCAGTGTGACACAGCCTTGGCCAACGGATCCCTGCCAGAGGCCCCAGGATGTACACTGACTGCCAGCTTGCTCCATCTCTCCTAAGCCAGAGGACTGCAGTGTCCTGAGGATCTGCCACCTTTCTTCACTGTGATGACCTGTTCCTGCTTCAGCTGCTTAATAAATGGGCTATGCATTTATATCCATTTAAAAATATGCATTTGGAATGGCCATGAACCCCATTATGTCCTGTGCTCTGTATGTTCAAGCATGCCTGGCTGTGGGACCGGGATCTGCTGGCACACACCCCTAATGCATGCTTACAGCATTGGCTGCCTCATGAGTCCAGTCCTCTCCATCCTGCATTTGACTGTGGTACTGTTTTGCCTTGCATTCTGCTTGGAAACCATGTCCCTTGGGCCATGAGCATCAGTAGCTCTGGTGTGGATAAGAGATAGTTAATGGAACTTCTATTATTAAAGTTACCTAGTGCGGTGGCACATACCTTTAATCTCAGTCCTTGGGAGGCAAAGGCAGGTAGCTCTCTGTGACTTCGAAGTCAGCCTGGTCAACAGAGCAAGTTCGAGGCCTGCCAGGGCTACATGGTGAGATCTGTCTCAAAGAAACAAAGTTACCTAGTGATCCTTTATGGCATTAACAAAGGCCCCTACACTTAGTGGCATTGCTGTTGAAGTATCGGAGCACAGTTCTGCTGCTGGTGTGTGGATGGTTCAGTGGTGCTGCAGCACTTCACTGAAGGAGTTTGAAACCCAGGCTTTTGCAGGTAGTATAAATCCATGGAGGGTCCAAGAATGCTCTGAGAGTCATTTTATTTGCTCCCTTAATTTTGACATTTCTAAGCTTAGACTACAAAAGCTTAATATTATCAAAGGAATGAAGAACAAAACAGTGATGGGGTTGTATCCAGGTCTTGCCTCCTACTCTGAGATCAGTATCATAGAAATCTTGTTCTGACCAAATGCAGCCTCTTGAGTAAGAGTTGACATTTTGCCACATAACCCTTAAGTAGCCTTGCTGAGGTCGTGTCTATGGCATAGAATGGGCTTGCTGGGGGCAGAGGGGGTGTGGCATAATGAAGTAGTTTTGTAACCTTTAATATAACTAATGTTTCTGTTTTTTGAGTGACAGAGACAGTCCTTTTGAAAAAGAGGGAGGGAGGAGGGAGGGAGGGAGGAAGGAAGGATAGATTGATAGATGATAGATAGATAGATAGATAGATGATAGATGATTGATAGATAGATGATAGAAGATTGATAGATGATAGATGATAGATAGATAGATAGATGTTAGATAGATAGATGACAGATGATAGACAGATGATAGAAACAGTACCCAGGAGGCTGTAGGCCAGCTTGGGCTGTATAGTGAGTGGCAGCCTCAATACCCACTCTTTCCAAAATTTGTACACATCATGGCTATAATCCAACTGTGATGTCCTGTCCGGCTTCTTCTTTTCCCGTGTGCAGTCACACAACCCTGATACGCTTAGACATGGAAACACAAGCGCTATCCCTAGCACTCCCGTGGTGCTGAGGTCACAGGGGAGGCAGACAGGCACCAGTGAGACAGTGACAGAGGAGGGCGTCACCTCTAACAGCAGCCGTGTGGTGGGGACACTTTGCTCGAATTGTTAGGCTGGGAAGTGGTGACTGAGAAGGGAGGTGGCTGCCAGAGTGACCAGAGATGTGATAAAGGCTTGTTCAGCATGGTCTCCCCAGGCTCCCCCTATCCCATCCACCTGGGCAGGTGAGGTCTTTTGGGACCCACAGTTGGATGTTTATACATACATGGCTGTACCATCTTAGCTATTTATGGGCCCCAGAAGATCATAACAGCCAGGTGGGCTGTCTTTAACCAAGGAACCCCAAGAGCAGTCACCACTACATTGCAAACCTGGCAGAAGCTTTCAAGCTAAACAGGATTGGGTTTAAGCCACTGCTTGCAAGCTGTGTTGCCTTGAGTGATTTACTTAACCTCTCTGTGCTTCACCTTTCTCCTCTGTCATAGGAGTAAAAGTATCACCTCAATGGGCTGTTGGGGTTAGTAAAGGCAAAAGATATACAACACTGAGCTGTCTGTGGGAAATGTCAGTTTGCTTTATTCTCTACGTTTTGAATGTTGTAAAATCAAGAATCAGACAAGAGACAGGAAATTTGAAGTTGAAACTGGAAGAGTTTGAAAATAATCTAACACCTTTATGAGTGAGGCTGCTTAAAGAACATGTGTGTGCATGTGCCTGTATGCATGCTTTGAGACACCATCTTGCTATGTAGCCCAGGCTGGTCTTGAACTCACTATCCTCCTGCCTGTCCCCTGAGTGTTGGGATTACAGGTTTGTGCCACCACACCCTGTTGGATAAGGCTATTTGGGCCCTAAAAGGTTAAATGATTTATCTTGAGTCACAGATGTGTGTGAGTTTTGGAACCCAAGGCTTGGCCTATCCTCTCTCCCTGCCCACCAGAGGGCACCCTTAGCCCTGGGGGACTTGCCTGGATAAAAGACTCAGGGCCCCAGGAAAGTTGTATGTGTGGCTCAGAAGTGCCAGACAGGGGACAAGAGCCTTTACCTGCCTTGGGACGTGGAGTTGCCTCACCACCTGACCTTCCCACCTGCCTTTGGTCAGGCAGAAGTCAGTGGAAAGTATCATGACAGCCACAATGCAGGGCTAGGGAAGCAGTGGGCAGAGGGGAAGAAGGCCCTGTCCTGCAGGAGGAGTGGCCAGGCTGGCAGGCAGGCTGGCTCAGCCAATGGCCAGTATGCCTGTGCTTCTCCACCTTCGGGACCCAGCTCAGAGTTCAGCCCAGGGCTGAGCTAGTTCCTCAGTGCCCCTCTTGTCTGTGAAAGAGAGAGAACCTGCTATGGGTGGGGTTTTCTGCAGAGAAAACTCTGCCCTTCCATGGTCTGAGACCAAGCTCTTCTAACTTATCAACAGACTAAACAAATGAAATAGGAAAAAACATAGAAAGCAAAAGAGAAAATACTAGAAAAGCCTGAGTCTAAGTTGCTGTTTCCTTGGCTACTCTCAGTGTGTTTTCATATGAGTTAGTCAAGTTAGCAGCAGCTGCCACTGGTTAAGGGTCTCTGAGCCAAACACTGTCCCTTCCTTCTTTCATTTTCTGTCCCCTGTGTAGGGGAGGGGCCCACAGTGACCACGTCCCTCCAGATGGGCTACCGTGCTACATACAGTTCAACCCTCAGCCAGGCATGGCTTGGTTATTGCCTACTGTCGGGTGACTTTACCTAAAGGAGGTTATAACAGGTAATCTGGGTGGGTGTGATCTGCCCACATGTACTGAATGGCCAGGAGGTTTCCCTGAGGAAGAGGAAATCCCAGCTCCTTTAGAAACAGAGATCCGTCTGCCTCTGCCTCCCAAGTGCTGGGACTAAAGGCGTGCGCCACCAAGCCCGGCTCAGAAATATATTTTTATGTTTGGTGTATAAGTGCCTGCATGTATGTTGTGCACCATGTGTTGCCTGGTGCCCACAGAGACCAGAAGAGGGATCACCTGAAACTGGAATTACAGATGTGTGGGTGCTGGAAACCAAGTCTGGGTCCTCTGCAAGAGCAGGTAGTGCTCTTAACTGCTGAGCCATCTCTCCAGCCCAAGACCTTCTTTTAACTTTTTTATTACTTAGTTGTTTGATTTATTTTAATTTTACATGTATGAGTGTTTTGCCTGCATGTATGTAAGTGCACCATGTCATGCAATGCCCACAGAGGTCAGAAGAAAGCCTTGTATTCCCTGAAACTGGTGTTATGGACAGTTGCTATCCGTCATGTGGGTGCTGGGAATCGAACCCAGGTCCTCTGGAAGAGCAGCTAGTGCTCTTAACTGCTGAGCCATCTCTCAAGCCCCTTCTTTTAATTTTTAATTAGTTAATTCTTGAGACTGGGTCTCACTATGTAGCCCAGGCTGGCCTTGACCTCCCAGGGATCTGCCTGACTTTGCAGTCTCTAGTGCTGGGATTAAAGGCCTGCATTACCACACCTAGCAAGACGTTTTTTTTATATTGATTATTTGTATAATGATATATTAATATTTTATATTAATGCAGTATAATTTATATCATTATATTAAAGATAGAGCTTTAAGGTGGAGAGCCATAAACGAGATCGAAATGCAAAGTAGAGACTTTTTTTCAGGGTGGAGCCCTGAGGAAGGAACAAGAGAGAGGAAAGGAAGCGAGGCAGGGGAGTGTCGTGGTTAGAGCTTTGGAGTGTTGGAGATGGTTCTGGTGTATGCCTGCTGTTCTGGGTAACTATCAATAGTGGCCCCTTCACCCTCAGAAATGCCCTGGTTTGTATGATGCATTATTCGGTCACCCTAAACCAACCTTTGGTTGGTACTTGGACTTGAGTTCTTGCTGTACTGTGTGATTTGGGTCAAATTACCAAACCTCTCCATCTCTGTATGATGCTTGCATGGGTGATATTCTTATAAGGAGCTGTTTGCAGATGGCGTGGTGCCTGGCTGGGCAAACTGTGTCATGCAGTTTCTGGCACGGGTGGGGCTGCGGGGCTGGGGGGTTACTGTGCTCTCCTTGGACTGGAGAGTAAAGTGCCAGGAATAGCTAGGGGTGGGGATCACACCCAGAGTCTTGGAGCTCACTCCTTCCCTTGAGTGCAGTCTTCTCCCAACATCAAAGTGTACCAGGAGCCAGGCCTCTGCCCCTTTCTGCAGATACTTGGGGGGGGCATTCAGGCGAGAGGGTTGTTTCTCATCTGTCATCCCCCTCTGCCCTCAACCCCAAGGGCCTAGACATTAAATGGGGTCTGAGAATTGGGCTTCAGAGCCCAGTTCATCCCAGGGCATCCCAGGGCCCCCCAGCCCAGCCTGCTCCCTGCTCTTCCCTGCTGGTGCGGCCCAGTGGCACCCCAACCCATGCTCACACTAAAAACAAGAGCCAGCGACCAGGGACCCCATGCATGGCAGCTCCAGGGCCAAGGGAGCACAGGTGGGAGGTGGGCAAGCTGGGTCTCCACTAGGCGCCTCCCTTGTTCCCTGGTCTAGGCCTGGGGACAGCAGGTCCAGCCTGGGGGGACAGCAGGTCCAGCCTGGGGACAGCAGGTCCGGCCTGGGGATAGCAGGTCCAACCTAGGGGGACAGCAGGTCCGGCCTGGGGACAGTAGGTCCAGCCTGGGGATAGCAGATCAGGCCTGGGGACAGCACTTGGGGACAGCAGGTCCAGCCTGGGAATAGCAGGTCCGCCTGGGGGAGCAGGTCCAACCTAGGGGGACAGCAGGTCCGGCCCGGGGATAGCAGATCAGGCCTGGGGACAGCAGGTCCAGCCTGGGGACAGCAGGTCCGGCCTGGAGATAGCAGGTCCAACCTAGGGGGACAGCAGGTCCGGCCCGGGGATAGCAGATCAGGCCTGGGGACAGCAGGTCCAGCCTGGGGACAGCAGGTCCGGCCTGGAGATAGCAGGTCCAACCTAGGGGGACAGCAGGTCCGGCCCGGGGATAGCAGATCAGGCCTGGGGACATCAGGTCCAGCCTGGGGATAGCAGGTCCAACCTAGGGGGACAGCAGGTCCGGCCTGGGGATAGCAGGTCCAACCTAGGGGGACAGCAGGTCCGGCCTGGGGGAGCAGGCCCCGCCGCCTACCTCCTCGCCGCTGTAGCGGGCCAGCTCCTCCTCCGTGAAGAGCCGCACCGGGGGCCCCCGCTCTGCCGGACGCGGAGTCTGCCCAGCCCCGGCCCCGGCCGCGGGCACCGGGACCAGCGCCAGCACCAGGGCGAGCGTCACCAGCGGCCGCAGCGGCCACCCGGGCGCCGGGCGCGCCATGGAGAGAGCCGGGCGGGCGGAACCGGACGTGGGCGGCGCGGGCAGCAGAGGGCGGGCGACGTCAACGAGACCCAACTTTATCTATCCCTCTCTTGATCCTCCCTCCCTTCCTCCCTCCCTTCTCCCTCCTCCCTCCTCTCGTCCTCTCTCTCTCCTTCATTCCTTTCTATTCCTGTCCCTTTCTCAAAACAGTACTCAACTTTATTAATGCGTCTTTCTCTTCCAACCTTCCTCCCTCTCCGCCTCCTTCTGTCTCTTTCTCTGGCTGCCTGTCTCCCTCTCCGTCTCTTTGCCTCTCTCAGTGTATCTCTGTCTCTGTAGCTCCGGCTGACAGTACTGAGGCTGACCCCCCCCCCCCAGCCATAGGATTGTGTTTGTGCAAGTAGCCGTGGCAATGGCCTTGGAAGGCCTCACCAACCACAAGGCCCTTTATCAGTGTCATACCGAGTCACAGGATCCTGAGGTTGGAAGAGGCCCTGCTGACCCAGGTGGAATATTCACTGCCTTGAGGCCCCAGGCTTCTTGATACATCTGCCTACAGTGTGCTGCCTGACTGCCCCAACCGGATCTGCTCTATAGTGTGCTGTCCCAGCCCCTTCCCTTCTGCCGGTCTGTGTGTCAGGACCCCCCTGAAGCCATAAGACCCTCCCTGTGATTTCTACAGATCACATTTAGCTGCTGCCTCCCAGACACACTAAGGATAAGTCTACAAGGCACCCCTTGAATTTACTTGAACCCAGATTCCCCAGGTACTCCCAGGTGAGGAAGCCAGTCCCAAGCGTTTTCAGGAGCAGAGCATTCTGGACAAGGGACAGTGCCAAGGCCAACGTGCTCGGCGCCCGAGAGCGAGGAGTGGGGCCACAAAGGTGGATGCCCAGCCTTCCGTCTCCTTTTACCTTTCTGTTCGGTCCAGGGCCTCTGCCTGTGGAATGGAGCCACCCACATTCAGGGCAGATCCTGTCTTATCAGTCCTCTCTGGAAAAGCCCTTACAGAACACCTAAAGGTGAGCCTCACCATGTGCTAGGTGCTCCTTAATCCAATCAAGTTGACAATCAAAATGAACCACTGAGAATAGGTAGTGATGGTCTCTTATTGCATAAGGTAACTGATGTACAAGGAAGATTAAATGACTGAGAGTACACAGGCAGGCAGGGCAGGGTCCAGACTGAAGCCCCGTCTGGGGCCAGGTCCGCACTTTCCCTAGCTGTCCTTGCCTGGATCTCAGCTGGCAGCCATGTGTCCCTCTGCACTTGGGATCTGAGTTAGTTTCCTAGGGCGCCAGCACTGAGGGACCACAAACTGACTGTAGTAATGACTTTTACAATACAGACATTCTGTGGACAACATCTGTTATCTAACCTTGCAACCAAAAAGTTAATCTTATCTTAAGCCTGTTTGTAAACAAGCCTAGCAGGCCTTGAGCACCTCCTGTAACCAGTCGCATGTTGCCTTAATTCCTCAGGACCCTTCCTTGCCCTTGACCCCTAATGTCTGAATGTGGCATAGTCAAGAAAGCTCTGCAAACAGCTGTAAATTTGTGCAGTGGACTCGGGGAAGCTGTGAAGATGATCTGAGTGTGTTCCAAGCACTTGATGGGATTAAATTGATGACATCTCTTTGTAGTTGTATGCACGCTGCCCTAGCTCCTTAGGGATCAGAAAGGGCAAAATTCCTCTCTGATAAGGGTCAGAGCTAGAGAAATGGCTCAGGTTAGGAGTGCTTGCTGCTCTTGCAGAGGACTTGAGTTCAGTCCCCAGCACCTATATGGTGGCTCACAGCTGTAACTCCAGTTCCAGGGAATCCAGTGCCTTCTTTGGTCCTCGGCAGGCACCAGGCATGTACATGGTGCACATACATAAATGCAGGCAAAATATTCATATGCATAAAATAAAATAAAGGTCAATCTTTTATGTCCCCCTCTCATGTTGATTTACGGTTTCAATAAAAGAGTGAGGCTTTGTGTGGGAGCACATTTCTGAGAAAAATCTGAAGGAATAGGTTCCCCAAAACTTGGGTCTGCTCAGGCTGTCTTTATTTAAGCATCCCTGTAATGTGGCAACATGTAGTGACTGCCGCAACAGGCATGTCCAACCTTTGGTATGGTGACACAATGTTACTATCTATATTTCATGTTTGAGAACTGCACCATCAAGTTACAAAAAAGAATCAGAATGTTTTAAGTGACTTTATGATTTTGTATTGGGATATCATAGCTGTCTTGGGGTATGTGTGCCTAGGGGATGGAGTGCTGGCCTGCCACCAGTAGGTGGGTGACTGAAGCCACCTGGGCACGCAGCTGTGTCTTCATATCACCTCCCATCTTTTTATAAGGGCACAAGTCACATTAGATGAGGGGCCTACACCATCATGACCTCATCTTAACCAATTAGATCTGCAGTGGCCCAATTTCCAAATAATGTCACATTCTGAGGTACTGGGACTAGGACTTCCAAATATTTTGAAAGGACATCATTCAGCTCATAACAAGATTCTCCAGGGTCGAGACAGTCACTGAGGCCATGAGATTAGAGAAGGCCACTTCCCTGGAGGAGAGGGAGGGAGTGGAAAGCAGGTAGAGGAGCTAGCTTTGGAGAAGGCTACCCTGTGCAGCTGAGTGGGATCCAAGCACAAGTCTAGGAAGGATCAAAGTGGCAGTAGGGGTCCTGGAAGCCAGAGGGAAAGGAAGTTCAACCAGGTCCAGTGCTGCAGGTAAGTCAAGAGCTGGAAACATGAGGGGCCAGTGAGATGGCTCAGTAGGTAAAGCACTTGCCCTATAAGCCTTAGGATCTTAGTTCAATCCCCAGAACCCACGTGAAAATGGAAGGGGAAATCAGCTCCACCAAAAGTTGTCCTCTAACCTCCACATGCACACACTGACACGCACACACTGACATGGGCCTGCAACCCCCCCTCACATATCACACACACATCCACACACATTAAACAAGCAAATAAACGTAAAACAAAATAAAACCAATTTAAATCAAACTGTGACCTTGACTATCACTTTCGGGAGTATGGTCATAACAGGGTATAAGAAGAGGCCTCAGGACATCGAGGACTGAAAAGTCTACTTTATGGTCTGTCCACACTAGCATGAAAGTGATAGGTAGAGAATGGGCGGGAGCGAGCGGCGCAGATGGAGGAGGCACAAGCGGATGGATGAGGCACGGAGGCTCAGATGGAATCCTCAGTGGGACACAGATTTATTTCGCACGGGGCACCTTTCCCTCGGGAAGGGAAAGATGTCCATGAAGGGAAAGATGGAAGGGAAGAGAAGGGACGGGAAGGGGGAAGGGGGAAGGGGGAAGGGAAGGAAGGGAAGGAAGGGAAGGATGTCAGGGAAGGAAAAGTGTCCAGGAAAGATGTCC